CGGAGCGGGTCTGCACGGCCCCGCCCCCAATACCATGTCGCCGCCGCTCCCCGGTCCGCTCTGCCGCCGCAGAGTCCGCCTTTGCGAGCCGCAACCACCTACGCCCCTCCCCGCCCGGGGCGCTCCGGTCGGGGCTCTGCGGGGGTCTTTTCGCCGGGACCTGGACACGAGAGAGGGCCGGAGAAGGGGACGGGGGGGGTCTCGCGAGCGGGAGCCAGGGCGCCCGCGGGCCCTTCGAGCAGCCCGGGCTCCGCCCCACGCTCCCACGGGCCGCAGCCTCACGGCTCCCAAGCCTGCCAATCCCAGCCCGCCTTTCTCCGCCCCGTCCAATCACAGCCGTCCTTTCAATCCGGGCGCGGTCCCGCCAATCTCAGCCCGCTCAGTCGCGGCTCGGCCCCTGAGCCTGGCGCAGCTCCGCCGTCACCGGCCGCACTCCACCCCTGCCGCCACTTGCCGCTTTGGGAGCCGGCGGAGCCGTGTCCCCGCTGCCGCAGCCTCGGCAGGCGCTGTTGGGGCCGGAAAGGGCGGGCGGGAGCTTCCCGTTCAGGTCCTGGCCGGGATTTCTCCCAGAAAAACGGGCAGACGGCGGGGAGCGGGCGGACTCGACCCCTGCAATGGCGGCGGCGGGAGCAGGACTTGAGGGGACCGGGATGGGAATGGGGGGGGCGCGCGGAGCCGAGCGCGGCGGGAACGGGCGGGCTGGGATTGGTGGGGCCGGCGCTGCCTCGGGTTGTGATTGGCTGGGTGGTCCGGCCCTGGGGCATAAATAGAGTGCGTTGAGGGGGGGGGGGGGGGGGCCCTGGCGTTCGTTCGGCGGCGGAGTTGGAAGCGACGGGAGCTACAGGTGCGCGATCTGAGGAGCGCCGCTGCGCCAGGACGGGACCCCCGCGGCTGCTGATCCGGGGAGCGCCGGTGAGCACGGACGCGACTCCCGCGTCTGTCTGCCGCTAACATTTGGGAGCCGCTGCTGTCTAGTTCTTTCTGCCGTGCTCTGCGCGGCTTGGGCAGCTGGTGGCTGGTGCGGGGCCTGGAGTTGCGCCAGAGGAACCGGCTGCTCTTACCGGGAGCCGGGAAGTAGCCGTTTCGCGGTGTCTGGATTTAAAGTCATGTTCAGAGTACCGGGAATAAAGCTGGGATTTTTTTGCCTTTTTATTATTTTGCTTTTATTTCTAGTACTAATATTTTTTATTGTATTATTTCATTACTTTGCTCTTTTTATTACATTTTGTTTGGTTTGGTTTTGTTTACTAGGTATCTGATGTTAGTTCAGTAAGGGTTGTGGGACTGGGGCTGAAACACTAGTTGTGAGACCAGTGGAGAAATCAAGCCCCAGGGTGCGGAAAAAGGACTTTGGCACGAGCCAGGCCCAAAACAATACAGAGTGGTGGAAATCCTGGGGCTGGATAAATGTCGTGGGTGAAGGGCACAGAGCTGCAGTAGTAGGAAGCTGAGGAGCTGGAGCTGAGGCAGAAGAGCTGGAGGAGACAGAAATATGGTAGGGTTTGGGGTACAACCCCTGTGGGGCTGGGATAGGGAATGTGGTGCTGGGGTGTGAACTGAATGGTCACAGCTGAAATTGCTGTAAGGGCTACCATAGGGACTACAGAGTTATTGCTGCAGGAGGGGTTGTCGTGTTGGGGCTCAAGAACATAGGCTCAAGAGCTGAGCTGAAACCACACAGAGAGCTAGCGTTAAAACAAAGGGCCTGCCCTGAGAAGCAAAAGTAGCATTGTGTGGCACTGCTGGGAAGATGTTGAACAGAAAGTGAAATGAGAGCTGGCAGTGAAATAAAGCTTGTGGGACTGGAGCTGAAATCACTGGGGCCACGGTAGGGACTGCAGTGCTGCAGCATCAATCACTGTTCAAAGGGATACTTACGGCAGGTCTAGAGAGTAACCATAGAATGGGACACAAAATGACGAGCTGGAGATGGAATAATGACTGCTGGAATGGGGTGAGAATGGTGTTTCTAGACTTGGACCTGAAGCTTCAAAATTGGAGCCAAAGCCAAGGCCCTCATGTCTAAGCGGGGAGTAGTTTCACCTGACACAGCTGGAGAATTGAACAGCGGGAGCTCCAAGAACAGAGAAATAAAGCTTGTGGGTCAAGAGCTGAAATCACCAGGGATGGGAAAGAGGGCCTGTGGGCCAGGTATGGAAACTGTATGGTTGACATGGACACTATAGGATTTGTGCCCTGAACTCACTGTACGTCTGTGGTAAGTGCTACGGCTGAGTATTGTGACTGAAACTAGAACAGAATGTGTGCGGTGGAAACCGGGGCTGAAATATAGCACCAGAAAATTATGGCAATGCTGGGATATTCCCTGAGTCTGTGATGGCACTTCCAGGGATGGAGACAAAATCACTGTGGGGTGGGCAAGTGGATGGCAAGGCTGGGGTTGTGCATGAAAAAGGAAACGGAAATGCAGAGCTGAGAACAAGGCTGTGGGCATCCGGTTGAAATGAGGCAGGGACTGGCATAGTGGCTAGGGATTGCTGGGTGGCAGCTGAAATCACTGTGGGGCTGCGATATTGATGGTGGGGTTGGCTTACAGCCCCTTGGGCGGGATCTGAAGTGTTGCACAGCTGGGGCCCAGACCAAGATGCTGCCCTTAGAAGCCGCAGAACACCAGAGCTGGAGCTGCAAGAACAGAGCTGGCAGTCAAATAAAGCTTGTGGGTCAAGAGCTGAAAGAGCTGAAATCACTGGACATGAGGCTGTACTTATTGCAGGGCTGGCACCGGGACTGCACAGGGGAATGAACCATAGGATCGGTACAGAGACTCTAGCATTCTTGCGCCAAAATCACTCTAGGCCTGGGACATGGATGCAGGGGCAGGGTATTGGGACTGTAAGTAGAACAGGATGTGTGGAGGGGAAAAGGGGGCTGCAGCAATATGCCTAAAACCCCCGCCGATGTTGGGATCTTACCTGGGTCTGTGATGGCACTTCCAGGGATGGAGACAAATTCACTCGGGCTGGCAGGTGGATGGCAAGCCTAGGATTGCATGAAAAAGGAAACAGAAATGCAGAGCTGAGAACAAGGCTGTGGGCATCCAGTTGAAATGAGGCAGGGGCTGGCATAGTGACTGGGGATTGCTGGGTGGCAGCTGAAATCGCTGTGGGGCTGGGATATTGATGCTGGGGTGGGCTTACAGCCTCTTGGGCAGGATCTGAAGTGTTGCAGAGCTGGAGTTACGCCTAAGATCCTGCCCTTTAAATCTGGCGTAGTTTTCGCTGGCAGAGCTGGAGAAATGCGCTGCTGGAGCGGGAAGAACATATAAGGTAGTGAAGTAAAGCTTGCAGGTCAAGAACTAAAATCACTGGGGCTGGGAAAGGGGGCTGCACATTGCTTGTGATATGTATTGAACTTTTGGGGGTTAAAAATCATAAGAGCAAAGTGAGGGAATTGGTTCTACATGTAAATAGTCTTGTCCTAAAGGAGCCATCAGCTTTGTCCTGAGACTGGATTTAAAATTACACCCCTCCCACGTTGCCCTATCCACTGGGGGCCCCTCCACCCCTGGCAGCACTCAGCGACGGCTGCCTTCAAAACCTCACATTTTTACTCACGCAGGGATGAGGCCATGCACTCAGTTGTAACCCAGATTCACGTTTTCCTGCGGTGGGGGCCTCCTCTTCGGCTTGGATGCTTGCATTCCTTTCTAAGTGGCCTTGAACTTCCTTTGTTCTCTCTGCAGGCCTTTTTGCAAGCACACAAGTTAACAGACTGCACAAGTTTAACCAGCAGACTTCAGCTATA